CATAGCTTAGCTTAGCCTATCTTAAACATGCTCAGAAACTTATATTAGCCTACAATTGGACAAAATCATCAAACACAAAGTCTGTTTTACAATAAAGTTATAAAGAATTTTGAATCAAAAATCAGAATTTGAAGTATGGTTTCTATTAAATGTATATAGCTTTCACACTATTGTAAAGTCAAAAATCTTTCCTATAAAACATTTTTAAGTTTACTCTTTCTAAATGATTTTCACATCACAAACATATCATTGCAAAATATAATTTGCATACGTATATGTTCATTTTCAATGTTCTTAATGTGGTATTACGTGTTTTTCTTTTTTTTTCCTGAATGATACTGTGAAAACTCTCAGAGTGGTATGTCAGCTAGTGTCTGTCTGAAGAACTTCTGGGGGACTATTAATTCTGCTAAAATGTTACTTTTGAGTGGTCCAAGCCTGCTATATTTTGAACCTCAGCGGTGGGGAATTCACATTCTTAAAATCTTAAGTCAAATCATTATAACTTGGTGACTCTTCGTACCTCCTTTAATGCTTGGATAGTTAGGGGTCAAGAAAGGAAAAGAACAATAGTTTTCAGGGACTAGGAATAAGCCATGCAGCATGGGTATAAGTGGGGAAGTTAGTTAATGCATCAGTGGTACTAGACAAATATTTATGGCACTTTTGCTGCAGAGAAAGCCCTATTCAAGGAGTGGGGATATACAGATGACAAGAAAGACTAAGTCCATGCCCTGAAGGGGTTTATATTCTAGCAGAGGATTCATAATGCTAAGCAATGTAGCAGAAAATTAATTATGCCATTCAAGTGGAATTCTGCTCAATCCTTGTATAATTTTATACTCATAATTTCCTGTGTTTATTGTTCAAAAATATAACGGGCTATTAAATATCCAGTAGTCTGTAGGTTTTAAAGGTATTTTTAAAAGAAATAAATGTTAAGGTATGATTTGTAACCTTTTATCAGTTCCTTTGACTATTGGACTAACTCAGGATTATATATCTCAGATGTCTTTGTTCTCGGGGACCAACTGTGGGTCTGTTGTGAGAAATTTCTTCCCAACTAAGGGTGATCTCAGGGCCCTGTTTATGTTTTTCAAGTTATTGGCAGGGATGGAATTAGTTTTCATTTTGCTGTGTATGAAGTCCTTGCTTTCAGTGGTCGAAGGAAGGACACAGGGAACACGTCCTTGGATCTGTTTACTTACCTGTTGCCTGTGAGGAAGAGCGATGTGGCCGGGCCCTCTTTCCCGAGTGTAACCAGAGCTGTTTCGTGTACAGTGGTAAAATCACACATTAGCTCTGAGCCTCCAGGGATGCCAAGCCAATGGAGAATAATTGATCACGGCTGCCTGGAGAGCTGTTTTGAGATGGATTTTGAGGCTCAGGCTGGGGCTCATCGGAAAAGAAAATGATGATTGATAAGTGAAATCTGCCGTGGGCAAGCAAGGGCAAACTTTGACTGCAGGCGCTGGGAATCTTCCGGTCTGTGTACCCTGACTCCCTAGGAATGGCTTGACCTTGTGGCTTCAGTTTTAATCCCCGCAGGCATAAGGATCATTTATTTTATTCTGAATAGAATGCACTAGAAACAGTTTAAACAGTGTCATACCCTCCTCCCATTTCCTAATGCAGTTGTGGTGACTTTTTTATTCCCAAATAGGATCACATTCAGCCTGCTGTCACTGCAGGCTTTTCCTCTTAACAACATAAAATAAAAACTCTTATTAGGAAATGATAAAGGCTGTGAGACAAAGACTGAGGACAGGAGTAGAAACAGTGTTGTGTGTGTGACCTTAAGTTATGAGGCAAATGAGTTGAAATCTTGCTCAAATATGCCAGTTTTTAATAATTCATTTATATAATTTAAATTCCAAAATGCATTATTAAAATACTTTCATGATGGAATATCTTAATCCTTTGCTAAAGATTTTTTATAATTATACTACTATTTTTCCAACTTTATGAAAGAAGCATATGCTAAATGCAGATCACTTGCATACACACATACAACGTTTTTTTTTTTTTTGAAGTACCTTTATGCATTTTCTTCTTCCTTTAGGTGTTTTTTAAAATCTAGAATATATTTCTGGATGTTTTTCAATTTAGAATATAAGTGTTTAGGGTACCTTGCACGTTTCTCCGTGTGTGTGTGTCTGTGGACTAGGTCACAAGGTAAGATGTAGTTCCAGTGGGTCATGATAAATAGCGTTTGAAAGTCACCATTCAGATCATACCCCTTTTATAACCACAGAGCCTTAGCGGAGAGAATAGTTTCTTACCCCTAACTGACTTGGCAGATATCATCAGTCTTAATCATGCCAAATCCGTGTGCTGCTTTATTCCAATAGTTCAAGTAAAGCTTTAGAAAAAGTCTGAGCAGAAGCAGAAGCAAGGTCTGCTCCACACACATGAAACATGATGCAAAATGCGTTCCACACGTATAGAAGCCTGACATGAAAGCTCCAGCATTTATCTTTATGAATGCCTGGGCTGTGTCTTCTCCTCTTTGCTCCGAGCCATTTTCTGTAACTAGTGAGTGAACCTAGTTCTCATGCTAAGAGAAAACTACGCTCGGAGAGGAAGGAGTGAAGATGTATTACTCTGCCAGCCCCCACCTCCTCCAGTCCCATGTCCTCAGACCACACGTACACTTATCACATGTCATAGTCACTTGTGACTCCAACCAGGATTTCAGTAGCTGCATCATTTTCAGATTTTCCTCCTGCCTGAGGAGAAGGGTGATCATAGCATGTTTTTCACTAATCAGTGGTTTAGGTTACCAGATGCCATTTTGGAGTGACAGTCACTAGATTTATGTAAGCTATAAATCCGGCCCATGGAATGAAGAAACTGATTGAACTCAAAAGGGCCAAGGGTCACAGATTACTGTCCCAGCAGGGCCTAACTTGCAATTTCTCTTTTATGGCTGCAAGCTGGAGGTGAGGATCTGAATTGAACAGGAGAGAAGAGGGACTTCCTGGTGGGCTTAGGTAGTTCAGTGGGTGCACCTGAGAGCTCCCCATCTGCAGACTCATGTTGTTATTACAAAAATAATAATTAGAGGATACTTAAATGATATAGTGGGTAGCACATAGAGAAAAAACTTACTTAGATAATTTTTAAAAAATGGGAAGGGGTAAAATACAGTTGTTCCTTGATATCGACATGGGATTGGTTCCTGGACCTCCTCTCCCCCTTCAGATACCAAAAATGCATGGATGGGAGGCTCAGGTCCCTGAGAGAAAATGGCATAGTATTTGTATAAAACCTATACACATCCTCTCCTATACTTTAAATCATCTCTACATTACTTATACAACCCAATACAATGTAATGGTATGTAACTAATTGTTATATTGTTTAGGGAATAATGACAAGGAAAAAAGTCTGTACATGTTCAGTACAAATGCAACCAACCATCCTTTTTTTTTCCCCAAAAAAACTTTATTTTTTGATTTTATTTTCCTCCTCAATGTTGGCTAAGCTTCAGCAAACTATATTCTCTTTTGGTAAGTAGCCATTGATTAACACTGGTATGATTTTCAGAGTAAATAGAATACACATGCTTTGGTAGTAAACTTTTAAAATAATGGACATTTATTTGATATGAATATATATCTAGTAATGAATATATAACTAGTCTTCAGAAACTGAAGGAGGAAACACAGCTGAGCTTCAACTTCTAGTGAAGCAGAAAGTAATAAAAATGCTGAGAATGCCGTGGCCACTTTAGCCAGCCCTCCTTTCGTTCTCTGCTGACACCCTGAGCTTCACACTGTTGTAGCACCAAGAAGAAAACAGATGCCGGTCACTTTCCTTATAGCAACTTAGGGATTTGTGTACGTAAAACATGTTGGGCAGGCTCTCCTTAACTCTTGGTTTGTATGGCAATGGTTGGTTTAGTAAATAAGACAGAGAAGGGCGGAAAGAGGATGGAAGAGGGTCTCATTATAAAACAAAGCTGAATGTATTTTGGTGCACCGGGTTGTTCAGGCTGGAGAAGTCAGTACTTGATTGTATTATCTGCTGTATGACCGCCAAGTGTCAGTATTTAGAATTTGAGTGTGGGAAGGAACTTTCCATTTTATGGCTAAGGAAAGGGTCCAGGCAGACTGGGATGAGAAGACAGGCTTCAGACCTGGGCTCCTTAGTATGTGACATTCATTTATCCCCACAAACTCATTTTTTGGCCATTTGAATAAACTTATGGTCTATGAACCAATATTTTTTCAGTCTGAAGTATGTCAGAAATAATTTAATTTTTATGCTTAAGTCTCCTGTGCACAAATTTTCCAGTCTAGGTTGTAACGATGACAATGACTAAAGCTTAGTGTATTTACTTTTGAGTTTGGGGGTTAACATGTCAGTAGGGCTTCATGAATTATCATTTATCTTCCACATCATTTCTCTTTTCACCCATGGTCTATATGACTACCTAACAATTAGGTCAATGATTCTTAATTTATTTTTAAAAGACAATACCAAAGACAGAAATAAGGCCAGAGTGAAATGGTGCAGTTCTAACATCCGAATCTGGAAAGATTTTCTTTTTTTCCAGTAAAAGGGAAATATATATTACATAGAGGCATCTAATGTTGTTAGGCATTTGAGGATGTGCTAGACTCCAAGAGGAGAGTTTTCTCTCAACAGAGGAAACTCAACTCAACAGAGTTTTCTCTGCTTCAAATGAAAAACAATTTTTCTAGGATAAATGGAATGATTAATAACATAAGAATAATCAGTACTGAATTTTATAGTGGAATGATCCCCATTAGCTTTCCAACTGAATGTAACACAGCTCATTTGCTTTCTTAACACACAATTTTCCAATTATTGTAAAACCGAGACCTGTCTTGTATCATGTTACGTCTTTGAAACTAGGGGGCTTCCCATAGAGAGATTTAGAATCCTGCAAACCCAGGTGAACTGTTCCTGTTGGGCAATCAACTGCTGGCAGATGAGGTAGGGCAGAGGCACCACAGATGCCCGTCAGTCGGTTAGGTTTTGATGGCCATGGTCCAGAGGAGCGGGTGGTCGGTCTCCACAGTCACTACACCAGACCCGTCATAGGTGTTGGAGGTACTGACCAATGTTCCAAACCTAAGCACATCATTTGCTGCAAGAAAATAAGAAAAAAAATTAGTAAGAGGCAACCTTTTTTCCAGTACAGACTGACTGTATCAACGGTTAACCAAAAAGCAATTAAGCCTGCACTTTGATAGAAGATATGTAAAAGTGGGGTGGGTGAAATATATGATGTAGGGCTTTAAAATTGAAAGTTCCTATCACTTGGCATAACCATTCTTCCTGGAATTGGTTATTTACCATTTTGGGTTATATACAACTCTCAATACTAAATTTCATTAAAGTTTTTTCCTTTTTCACTTTCTTCTTTACCAATTGTAAAAGCAAAACTCGTATCTATAATGTGCTACTTAATTCCTTGCCTGGGTACAATTTTAATTTTTCCTGATGATTCAGAGTTAACATTTTATATAAGTTATTAAACTGTATAAAGATACAGTTTTGGCTTCAAGTATAAATGATATGAGGCAGAAAGCTAATTACCTGAAAAAACCTGGGATTTTGGTCATTTTTTTTCCTCGTAAAGTAAGGAAAGTCAAAGTGAATATGGCTTATGTTCTATAAAATTAATAGGAACTCAAAGGTCAAAGCCGCTTTCAAATGTGTAATCTTGAGCAAGTCACTTAAGCTAAATTGTAATATGAGGGCAAGAGATGAGATACTACTAAATTATCAAAGTAAAAGGCTCAAGAGTTATGCAATTAGAATTTATATATTTATAAATTTTACAAGTATATACTTGTATTTTCTAACAAGTTAATGTCTAGGCAAAGGTTGGTAACTTCATTCCTCTTTGCTTATACAGGAGCAATTCACTTCATCAACATGACCATGAACTCATAACTGACCTAGAAACATTCCTTGATAACCAATATCATC